TTTGTGGTTGTAAACAGGTATCTCAATTTAAACTCTGCCAAACTGAAAATTATTTGGGGGACAAATTTCACATGAGAAATTCCAGATGGCTCAAGAAGAGATCAATTGATTCCTTACTTCTTGGGGTGTACTTCAGAACTGACTTACCCTGACAAGTCCAGGGGGAAGCAGTTCTGATCAGTGATATGTTCTGTTTGTCAATGGTGGATTTGTTCAACAAATGACCGTGAGGCCTTATGATGGCATACTACAGAGCCAACAGAAAAGAATGATGTAAGTTCACATGGACGGATGTAGAAGGGTCTCCAGCATGAATTATTGAGAGGTAAAAGCAAGGCGTAGATCAGAATATTAAAAAAGATCTCAACTATATTCTTGTATATGCATTAATTGTTTTGTTCTGGAAGAATACACAAGGGACTGTTAACAGCCTAAGTGTGAAGGGATGACGAATTTTCTTTTTATGTGTTTCCGAACTGCTTTACTGTTTTTACCATGTGCAAGTGTTATTTATATAATAAAAATTAACCAGCTTTTAAAGTAACACTGTGGACCTCTTAAGGTCAAGAGAGAAGACCAGCTCCTAAAGCTTCCCAGGTGGAAATCACCTTGCAGGCAGCTCTCTGATAGCTGCATTTCAGGGTGGCTTTGTTGCATTCTTCTTGGACCTACTAACTCTCATAAAGAAAGACAAATGTTCCTTCGTTATGATAAATGGCCCTGAAAGCGAGCTGCTTACAAAATAAAGAGAAGGTCAAATCCAGAAAAACAAAAACTCTGAATAAGTCAAAGATTGGAACATCAAGCGTGGCAAGTGACTCGGAGCTGTACATGAATGAGTGACCCATGACAACATTTCAGACAGCACTCAGCTAGACTTGACTCTAATTGCTTTAGGTTTATTCTTACAGAATCATTTTGGGCTATAAAGGGTTACTCAATCTGTATCATATTTTTTTCCATTTTAAGAAGAAAATAATATGCTATAACAGTAATTGCAAATGTGGGTATTTAAAAGTTCTCCAAATGCATTTCTTGTGAACCTTAAGGTCTATACAGGATTGGTGGGGCGCTGCGGTCCACACCTGTAATCCCAGCACTTTGGGAGGCCAAGGTAGGCAGATCGCTTGAGCCCAGGAGTTGGAGACCAGCCTAGACAACACAGGGAGACCCTGTCTCTACAAAAAAAATTTTTTTAATTAGCTGGACATGGTGGCGCGCACCTGTAGTTCCCACTACTCGGGAGACGGAGGCAGGAGGATTGCTCGAACCCAGGGAGGTCGAGGCTGCAGTGAGCTGTGATTGTACCACTGCACTCAGCCTAGGCTACAGAGTGAGGCAGTGTCTAAAAAAACAAAGAAGTCTATACGGTATTGAAATGCCATTATTATTTATTGAAATGCTGTCTCTCCATCTGAGTAAGCACCTTGAGAGCTAGTCCATTTACTTCATTTCTCTATCCTTAGCAATTTTCTTGGCATATAACACATATTCAATAACTTTCTGTGTGTGTATTTAGATGTCTTTTCTAATTCTTCACTCAGCTAACTTCACAAGTATTTATGGAGTACTTCTTATGTGCCAGGCATGACACTAGTACTTCTATGTAGATATGCATGCACACTTCCTTGTGTTTTCCTGACATCCAAACAAGAAGGTCCCACCCACTGCATTTGGTTCCCACACATACCACAGAACTGAGGCTGGGAGTTGGAGTCCCGTTCCTTCCAATATATCCTGTATTGGAGGAGGCAGCCCATTTGTTCCTGGACTGGAATGCTGTTCCATGAAATTAAAACGCTCCCCTTTTCCTCTGTGATGGCATTAATGTGGGGGCCACTCCGTGGTGCTGTAAAGTAGGGCACAGGAGGCTTCTGTCACCCTATAAATCCAAATCATTAAACTGAAGCAAAATTTGGCAAAAGGTCCCAAGACTCACCTTCGTGCTTAGAGTTACCCAGGGTGGAACTGCATCCTCCTTGATACCCTGAGAGTGCATACACATGGATTTCATAACAGATGTAGGGTTTTACATTCTCTGCAAGGAAAAGGGAGTTCCTATAACAGCTGCATGACTACCGGTGAAAGGGAGCCATTTTAATATCTGATACAAATGCCTTCAACGTGTTTCTTGTCTTTTCCTAGTTGCTTGAAAGATGGTTCAAGCACCATCTGGACTGATGACCTATGTTACAAATTCTCAGCATCTGATTTGCCATGACGTTGGCTTCTAGAAGTCACCGCTCCCAACTTCAAAGGACAAGATCAGCCAACCAACCAATGAACCTGAGCTTCTTTCCATATAAACAAACGGGGTCACCATGAATAAGAAGGAGACAAAAGCTATTTGAGTTCCAACGCGGATTTAAATATAACCACACACACACATGCACTCAGACTGCTTTTTAAACAAACAAAACAACTTGCCCTCAAGAAAAAAGAAATTTGATTTCTGCAAATAAAGCATTTGCTTTTTACAGGAACGTGAAGCTGGAATTTTGCAGGCATAGAAGCTGAATGGCTTTTCTAATTCCGTGATGCTTATCAAGATCTGACAGGGCAGATGACACACTCAGGCATGACTAACCAGGGCGCTCTGGGTGCAATCCGACCCTTTGTTACTCTACCTCCTCTCCCTCTATATTCCAGTTAGATTTCAATTGCTTCACAGCCTGGAAGATTTAAAAGGTACTTGGGAATGTGAATGCACCTTCCTGGCTTTTAAAGCACCACTTGCAATTATCTGTCTGTTACGCAGCAAGTTTTTCTTCATCTATTGGCAAGTCTTTCTTCCCCACCAAAATTCCTTATTTTCATGAATCTCAGATTTCTACTGCTTGTAAATGAAAGGCCCCTTTCATAGATATCTCTCATGATATACTTTTACATTCCAAATGAACATTTAAAGGAAAAAGAGAAATAACTCCTACTAGGTAACTATAGTATCAGGGAGTCAAAGTAAGCACCCTCTCCAGTATTGATTAATGCCCTGCTGGTAGGTAGCCAGTGTCCTCTACATTGACAATTTATGAGGGTTTAATGTTTTTTTTCAGGAAGCATAATTTTGTTTCATAGAATAATTTATTAAATTATGTGTATTATATATGAAAATCCATTGCCTGTTAAATATCCCAGCAAATAGCACATAAAGCTCAGTTGTGCAACAGTGCTGTCAGAAGAGACCATGACAAGATCAAAGCACATGCCATGGGTAAATTCCAGTTCGAGTTCATGAACCAAGTGAAGTGGAGAAAAGGACACAGCTTAGTACGGAAATCCAAAGATTCCTCGTGGGTGGCATTGACACCAAGAAGCCCAAAGGGCAACACAGAATATGAAATCATATTTCAGGTGAGAGGAGCCCGTGAGTAGCTTTCAGCCCCCAGTGCCTGGCTGTTCTGCCCCTAGTGGTGAAAGGGGCCGACCAACCACTGCCTTGCGGAAGCATGGGAGTTCCAGATGAGCCCATTAGGCAGACAGTTCCATTGTGTTTTGCCATGCAAGATGTGAGTTCAGGGCAGAGGCCTTGGCAAGTGCTGCATTAGAAGCTGTGTTTTCTTCTTGTGAATGGCTCACCTTTGACGGAGGAGAGAAGACAATGTGGCCCGTAACTCAGCAGACATTTCCCTTCCCACCAAGAGTAGAGCCTTCCTAGCAAGCTTGTTGCTCAGTTCTGGCCTCAGGAACTCCTGTTTGACTGGCTGATTCTTGTATGAACGCTCTCTAACAATATCTGCTCCCCACCTCAAAACTTTCAGTGGATGAAGCCTATACTTCTAAGGCTTTTATTTCCTTTCTAGAGTCTGACTCCAATTTCTAGGCTCATTTCCCACCATTCCCATACATACATATGTACCTAGTACCCTTCAGCAAAGTCCCTGTCCCCATGTTTATAAACCATCCCTTAGGTGGTCTTTCTGCAGAAAGCTAATTTCACCTCTTAAGTGTGGGAGAAGGCATAACATTAAATGACCAGTAACGGGGACGAAGAGGACGGAAGAGGGCCCCCAACAACTCTAGACATCAGGGAAGGTTTTGTAGACACTGTGATGTTATGCATTTGTAAAAGGAGTGGCTGTATATGGTCAGAAGCATTTTCATCCAGACAGGGCAGAACTAGTCTATAAACCAACCTATAAACCAGGAGCCGGGCTGTATTCTAGCCCACTCCAAAACGCCCACATCTGCCCCAGGCTGGTGAAAATCAGTAACGATGAGTGATCTTACTGACTAGAGGGGGCCATTTTGAATTCATGATAAGCATGAATTGCTTAATTTTTAAGTGTTTATTCCAGACTGTAACATCAACATAAACTAATAGCTAACCAAGTGTTTCCAAGCAGGGGAACAACTTTAAAGTTATTTTATTCATGAGTACATTAACTTCTTTTTTTTTCTTTTTCGGAGATGGAGTTTCACCCTGTCACCCAGGCTAGAGTACGATCTCAGCTCACTGCAACCTCCACCTCCCGAGCTCCAGTGATTCACCTGCCTCAGCCTCCTGAGTAGCTGGGATTACAGGTGTGCACCACCACACATGGCTAATTGTTGTATTTTTAGTAGAGACAGGGTTTCACCATGTTGGTCAGGCTGGTATTGAACTCCTGGCCTCAAGTGATTGGCCTGCCTCGGCCTCCCAAAGTGCTGAGATTACAGACATAAGCCACCATACCCAGCCTAGTATATTGGTTTTATTCAATGAATATTATAACTAAAGTGTATAAAGACACTTACTAAGTAGGGAAAACATCTCTCTTGCCATATAATTCAAACTATCCCACAGGAGTAAGTCCTGATACAGCTTTTAATAATGTTTACAATTTCATAGCAGCTTAAACTTTGGTAAATGCTTTTCTACTCACTATTTCACCTGATTTGGTGGGCGTAACAGCCCTGAAGAAAACTGGTTCTACTGCAAAAACTCTAGTGATAGGGAACACACTGTTTGACAGGTAATCGATTGTCCCATTAGAGACCATCGAAGGCAGGAAAGTTCTTTTTCAAAATTGAACTGATAGATACTTCTTTTATAATTTCCACACAGCGCTTTAATTTTTCTCTGCAAAGCAGCAAAGGAAACATACTCTCTTGTGTGTAATGTCAAAGCCAGCAATAGCCATCAAGCCGTCCCATTCCCATGCCCATCTAGAATTCTCTTTTCTAGATTAAATGGTTTCCAGATTCAAAGTTCCAGGCTCCTAATAATCTGCCCATCTTCCTCTGGATGCTTACTAGGTTATCTAGGCAGCATTTTTTTTTAAGTGTAGTGATTAAAAATGAACCTGCTAGAAGTCTGAGCAGCCGGACTATAGAAGGGGTACACAGTTAAGGATGGACTCATGTATTATCATGCAGTGTGCTGTTTATTTCATTTGTGTAAATCTTGTCACCTTAAGCAGGGTGTGTATATCCTCCTAGACAGGTATAACGATTGTTATGGTGTGATGGAAACATTCTAGGATTTAGAGCTTGACCTTAAAATATTAGCTCTGTCTCATGTAATAATAATAATGATGATGATAGCTAAATTACTGACCCCTTAAAATGTATTAGGCACTGTTCAAAATGTTTTCCTTGAAGTAATTCAGTTAGTCTTCATAATAACCCAATGTGGTAGGTAATATTATTATCCCCATTTTTCAGATGAGGAAATTGAGGCACAAAGGGGTAAAGTAACCTGCCCTAGATTGCCCAGAGCCAAGACTCAAACCCAGGTAGTATGGCTGCAGAGCCAAAACTTTAAACCACTGATTCAATTCAGTGCTGAACTTATGCTTGACAATGACATTAACTAAGTTCTGTCCAGTCATTTAAATATATTCTCAGATGGGTTCTCTCACTTGATTCTAGCCATTTGATTCTAACCACTGACAGATTAAGAAACTGAGGATTAGAAATACCAATTGTCATATAGATAATTCTGGATTATTACACAATTAATAAGCAGCAGAATTGGGAATGTAAGACTTCCTGGTTTCTTCATTTATACAATGGTCATGCGGACTCTTATTTTATTTTTATTTTTTTTAATTTTGAGATTGAGTCTCTCTCTGTCGCCAGGCTGGAGTGAAGTGGCACAATCAGCTCACTGTGACCTCAGCCTCCCGGGTTCAAGTGATTCTCCTGCCTCAGCCTCCCGAGTAGCAGGCACTACAGACGTGTGCCACCACGCCCAGCTAATTTTTGTATTTTTAGTAGAGACAGGGTTTCACCATGTTGGCCAGGATGGTCTCAATCTCTTGACCTCGTGATCCACCTGCCTCGGACTCCCAAAGTGCTGGGATTACAGGTGTGAGCCACCACGCCCAGCCCATACTGACTCTTACTGAACATGATTGCTTTGAGAGTTATTAAATAAACGAATTCCCCAAAATAAAGGTGTCTATTACACTGGTCAGTTAACTTAGCTCTCAGCCATACTTGTTTGGTTCAATTATTCATTCATCTTCTTTGGCACTGTGCTAGGGATATGGATTTTTCATAAATAATGGAGTTTTTAGTTAACCAGTTGGTCATTTATGTCTGCAGTGGAGTATTCTAAAGTGCTGCTGGATAGACTCTAGGTCATCAGTCTCTCCTACTATGTAGCCACCTGTAATTGAAGGCAGGGTCCTGGCTCTTGCCTACAGTTTCCCCAAACAAATGTGAACTTAGTAACCCTCCGAAGGAAGATGAACAATTAGGTACCTGAAATCAGAGCAGACACATTGTAGGGGGGACTCCGCAGCCAGTTCAGAGGGACCTGTGTGTCGCCCGTTGGATGGAGCTCTCTCCATTCCACCACGTACTCCTGAACAGCAGAGGGAGCCTTCCTGGGAGGCTGCCAAATCACCCGAATGCTGTCCTTGCCCTCTGAGTTTGCAGAGACCTGATGAGGAGCCAGCAACCCTTTATCAGTCAGAAAGAGGAGAAACAAAATTTAAAAAAAGAGGAAGGATAATGATTTAAAAAACAGCAACAAAAACCAAACGGCTTATCCCAGCAAAGTTTTAGGAAGAATCTATTTACTTTTAAAGGCTTTGGAGTCACAGATTTAAGTTAATTCAATTTTCTCAGTTCATGGAGAGCTAACATCAGCTTGTTCAAACATTATGTAAAATGTTATGTGTAGAATTATTTTCCCCTTCACCTTCCATTCCTTTCTCTCTCCCTCTTTTCCTTTCTTCCTTCCCTTCCTTCCTCCTTCCTTCCTTCCTTCCTTCCTCCTTCCTTCCTTCCTTCCTTCCTTCCTTCCTTCCCTCCCTCCCTCCCTGCCTCCCTCCTTCCTTCCTTCCTTCCTCCCTCCCTCCCTCCCTCCCTCTCTCTCTCTCTTTCTTTCTTTCTTTCTTTCTCTCTCTTTCTCT